CTCTCTCCCTCTCCCTCTCCAATGTCTCTGCTCTCTCCAAGCTTTCCTCCTGCTCCGTTTGTTGCTCCAGTCCACGCTGCTCAGTGAGCAGAGGACGAGGAAGCTGTTTCCTGCTCTGTTTTCCTCTGTTGCGGGCGGGCGCTGCCGGCGGCGCTGCAAGTACCGGTCCCCTCCAAATGCAGTATAGTACCATTTTAAATGCCTCAGTACCGCGGTACCATACTAGTACCGGTATATCGTGCAACACTAATCTGATCTCAGCAGAAATTAGGTCTTCAATGTACATAGGACAAAACCTTTCTTGCCAGAGGATTACCTCCACTACCTGCCGGAAGCTCTGGTGGAGCAGTACTGATCAAGTAATTGTGGTCTTCTATATGCGCCTATGTATTTTACTTTTAGTGACTTAATGCACCGTCATTAATCGAAGCCCAGTGTTTCAAAGCACATCATAATCACTAAATCCCTGCCAAGGAAAGAAACTTAAAGTGATATACCTGTGAATGGCCATATTTATTGGGTGGGGAGGGCTCTTACCCAGGGATTCTGAAAAAACCTCCCTCTACCTTGGTTGATGCTTGAGGAAGGCAATAGAAAAATATCACAGTTTAAAATGTAATAAAGTTTAACAAGTTACAAAAAGATTAAAAAAAATGACACAAGAAAAGCTAAACTGAAATACAAAAATGAAAGATGTATCAATTGACTCCGCCCTACCCTGGTTCAGTATTGTGTATATATACACGTTGACTCTGTTACTTTGCGTTGCCACCATTAAAACCACCTTTTTTTTTTACTAGCACCTGGGTCTGCACTCTTGAGTCCTACCTCAGTTCTCCCTCACCCTCCTGGTGAAGGGGACTTAACCATAACAAATCTATTGTCATTGTAACATGTACAATGAAATTATGTTTGGAGACAAGGGCCCCAGGCGTACATACGCGCCACCATCACTGGCAACAGGTGGGGTTCAGTGTATTGAGATCTCATCAGCCACTGTTCATCCGCGGGCTCGAAGTGGAGAGGGTGAACAGCTTCAAATACCTGGGTGTCCACATCAGTGAGAACCTCACTTGGACACTTAACATCACACAGCTGGTGAAGAAGGCCCAACGGCGGCTGCACTTCCTGAGGAGGTTTGGCATGTCACCTAGGATCCTTTGCAACTTCTACAGCTGCATCTGAGAGCATCTTGACCAGCTGCATCACCGTCTGGTATGGCAGCACTACTGCTATGGACCGCAAGCGCCTGCAGAGAGTGGTAAAGACTGTGGAGAAGATCACCAGGACTCCTCTGCCCTCTCTGCAGAGCATTTACCACCGCAGGGTGCATGGGAAGGCTACCTCCATCCTCAAAGATCCCACCCACCCCGAGCACAGACTGTTCGCTTCCCTACCCTCTGGCCGGAGGTTCACAAGTGTGAAATGCAGGACCTCCAGACTGAAAAACTCTTTTCTTTCCCTCTGCCATCAGACTCCTAAACAGCTGAGGAGTTTATTACCAGGAAATACATCATGTACTGTGTGGATGTCTGGTCATTTGGTGAGCAGGAGATCACACCTCCCTGCTGGAATGTGATCTACACCGGGTGTCTGTGTGTGTGTGTGTGATGTTAATTTGTATGTTAAACTGGCCAGGTGGTCATCTCAGGATGTTGGGCCCCCGGTCTCTGCAGGACATCCCAAGATCAAGCAGAACTTGTAATATGTTAAGTGGGTCTGTGTGTGAATGCAAAACAAGCCGACTTGTCTTTGTTAAAATGTGAATTGGCTGTCTGGTCGCGGAGAGATGCAGACATCAAAGGCAGCTGGAGACGGTATGTGAGTTGTTAGATGTGAGACAATGGTATGAGTTTTATAGATGTGTATTGAATCACTTTGGTATAAAAGGACTGCCCCTTTACCAGTCAGATAGAGAACTCTGCGCGACTGTACGACTTCTCTCCATGCTGCATGAAATAAAGAATTCTTTGAAGCTACTCCCGGTCTCCAGACATCTTTATTGGGTCCTGCACGTTCCCACTACCACAGTTATGGCGACGAGGAAGGGGATTAATGACTGCTTTTTCGACTCCAGCATCTGAAAGCACAGAACTGCGAGCACCAAAATAAACGTAAGAGAACTTTTATTCTCTCATTTGGCTGTGTTCTACCAGTCAGGCAGAGAACTCAGCGCGACTGCAAAGCTGTGCATGACTTCTCTCCATGCTGCATGAAATAAAGAATTCTTCGAAGCTACTCCCAGTCTCCAGACATTTTTGTTGGGTCCTGCCCTTTCCCACTACCACAACTGTCGACCTGTACTGTTTACATTCTCAGTTTGCACATGCATAATTGCACAATGACTATTGACTGCTGCACATGCTGCTCCCATGCTGCATACATTGTTATATTCTTATATATTTTTTATTATATTGCTGCATTTGCTGCTTAAAGTGCCTTAGGTTTTGTGTTACTTATTTATCTACTTTATATTTCATTTGTATTTTGTAGCATTCATGTGGATGGCAAAGTAAGAATTTCATTGTACAGGGAAACATGTTTCCTAACTGTGCATATGACAAACATTTTGACTTTGACTTGACTTAAATGTCTTCATACAGGCCGGTGGAACGTAACTACCATAAAAATGCCCTCGCCGTGAGGTGGATGTGAGTTCAGTTTTAAACTGAGACATGAAAAGCAAAAGAAAAAGAAATACAAACATATTTTAAATAAATATGAATGTTTTACTTCATTCACACATTTATAGACATTATATTAAGGAATTTTTTAGGAGCTCATTATAGGGTTTTATTTGTAAATTTTACACCACACTAAGTACAGATATCAAGTAAATATAAATGACAAACTACAATTTTTGTCTGCTAACCGTGGAGCTTGGACAATAGTTTAACCAGTATCAAACACGAAAAGCACCTTCTACTTAACGTTACACTCGATTCATACAGGAGCAACAGCAGATGTAGCAAAAATCGTCTCAGATATGTGACATGTGAAACTGGTCACTAAATGGCAGTGATGTGGAAGGATGTATTTTGTGGCACAGTTGTTGAATTGAGTAGTTTGGAAACGATTTGCACAACATTAGAACAAACACTGTGTCATTGCATAACTTGTAAGTCCCTGCTCAGTGAAATGCCTCCAGAATTGATCTAGCATTTCTGGGTTTTATGGTTTTTTTCTCCTCTTTGAGGATATTTTGTCTCCAGCACAACTGTTTCAATACTGTTCACCATCCTAGTCGTCTTCTGTTTAAAGACACTGTGGTAAATACTGTATCAGTGTCCACCTCTGGAGGGTTGTGGTCTCCATACACAATCACCAGCAATATGAGGCCAAATGCCCATCATCGCCCAGCCTGCCGTCTCCCTCCTCATTAGCAGTGTCTTTGCCTCAAAGGAGAAAAAGAAATTTTTGGAAAAATGAAAAATGTTCAGATTCATTTTTATTGTGCCTTGTGTTGCTGAGTGTTCAACAGTTTTTGTAGAATTTTCTGTTGATCTTGTGACCAATGTTTGAGGAGTGAATCAGTGTTGATATTACACTTGTTATTAGTCAGTACTTATTAGTATTCAGCTGCTGGAGATGATCAGCTTCTGTCTCAGATTTTTCAGTAACATCAATCGAGCAGCAGGACCGCTTTGTGCCAGACAAACCGTGATTTAATGCAATTAGTGATCAATTAATCATCCATAAATTACTAGTTACATGAGCAATCTTCAGTGTGAAGAGTGATTTCTCTATATAGTGACTTCATAGTTTCACAACAGAAAAGAACAAGACGGCAGAACTGAATTTTATGTAATTTATTAATCCAAAAAGAAAGTGAATACAAATGCAGTTCAAATGTGATAGAACAAAGAATGAAAATGACTGAGATACGGAACAGTCTGGACTGATTTAACCTGGGAGGTTTAACTTGATAAAGTTGTGGTGAGAGGAAATGACTGATTTGGGACCAATGAAGAAAAATGTTATTAACTGCACTGTCACCCCCTGTGTGGGTTCTCATAGGGATCAAAAAGGAACTGTTACATGTGAAGGTTTTCTCACATTTTTCAAGAATACAACTTCTCACCTGTGTGGATCTTTAAATGAACATTCAAATGCGACAACTGCATGAATCCTTTCCCACATGTCTTGCAAACATATGGCCTCTCACCTGTGTGGATTCTCATATGGGTTGACAAGTAACTGTGACATGTGAAACTTTTTCCACATGTTTCACAAGAACACGGCTTCTCACCTGTGTGGGTTCTCATATGGATCACCAAGCCTGTCTGTTGTGTGAAGCTTTTTCCACAGGTTTGACAAGAATACGGCCTCTCCCCTGTGTGGATCTTTAAATGAACATTCAAATGTGATGACTGCATGAATCCTTTCCCACATGTCTTGCAAACATATGGCCTCTCCCCTGTGTGGACCTTTAAATGAACATTCAAAGATGATGACTGACTGAATCTTTTACCACATGTCTTGCAAACATATGGCCTCTCACCTGTGTGGACTCTCATATGGGTTGACAAGTAACTGTGACATGTGAAACTTTTTCCACATGTTTCACAAGAACACGGCTTCTCACCTGTGTGGGTTCTCATATGGATCATCACCTGTGTGGCTTCTGAAATGTCTATCCAAATCAGACTTCCACTTAAAAGCTTTACCACAAGTGTCACACTTGACAGACTTTTTACCTGTGGGAGGTTTAGACTGAGTCTCTGACAGGGGAGAGTTGTCCACATTGCTACTGTGACTGGCTGATCCTGAGTCTCCATGTTGGCTTCCTTCCTGATCCTGGCTCTCAGCTACAGCAGAGCTGTGACAGAGAAACTGCTGGTCACTGGTTGGTTCTGCTTCACTGTGGTCACTTTCCCCATAAGTAGGAGTCAACATAAAGGGATCAGCCTCCTGCTTCAGTCCGAGCTGCTCTCCCTCCTGACTGCTGCAGAGTTCCTCCTGTTCCTCTTTAATCTGTGGATGCTCTGGGTCCTCTTGGTCCAGACTGGAGTTCCTCTCCTGGTTCCAGAGCTGCTGGTCATCCAGAAGCTCCTCCTCCTGACAGACATGTTGCTGTGGCAGCTCTGGAGGGACAAAGGAAGGAACAGGTCACTGATGTGATGAGAGAAAAAATGAGTGATGCTTCTTATCCACCAGGTTTTATTTGAATTCTCTAGTCCACCTTACAAGTGTCTGTAGAGGAGTTGGTTCATTCACTCATTTTCAAATTGACCCATGAACTGGAAAATGTGATGATTAATGGAAAAATTCAATTAACAGCAAATTCCTCTTTGAGGTTTGGAATTGTTAGAAATCAATAAATTTAATGAGAAAGCGGGAAACCAATTATGAAAACCAAAACCAGAAAAACAAGTCTTGTTCTGTTTTTCTGCTGGTGGATTTCTGCCTCTTTATCATGCACAGACAGTGAGCGCTGCGCCCGCTCCCACAAAGCCAGAAGGCATAAAACTAACAGACATTCACACGAATTCCCACGGGAATTAGTGTTTATGGCTGATATCAACTGTCAGTTCAGCAGCGATAAACAGCCTGGACTATGTGTAATATTCACACGAATTAGCTTTAAGTTTAGTTGTGTAACTTCTATAACTCCCTGCAGTGCGGATCTGCTGCCTACGTCAGACCCAGCCTAACAGCATGTCTCATGGATGGATGGATAGATGGATAGATAGATATACTTTATTAATCCCAATCATCAAGCACACATACCAATAAATAGAATAGATAACTCACTAAAAATATAAAACAAAATATAAAATACGTTAAAGAGTTAAAAACAAACCCAACACAATCAAGTACATATACATAATCACATGATGAATGAAACATATGCAAATCTATACAAAGCTGATTCAGTATACAATTACTCTCAATCCAGGAATCGTCTAATGCTCCAAGATGATGTGTTGTACAAATTAATGGAGTAAGGCAGGAAAGATTTCCTATAACGTGGTTTACGGCAACGAAGCTGTCTAAATCTTTTAGAGAAGGAGCTCCGCTGTCTATCTAGCACAAATCGGAGAGGATGGTCAGGGTTATCCATAATTGATAACAGCTTGTTCAATGTCCTCCTCTCCATCACTGCCTCAAATGATTCTTGTTCACAGCCAATGACAGAGCCAGCCCTCCTAATTAGCCTATTAAATCTATCGGAGCCCCTGGCTGCAATACTACTCCCCCAGCAAACCACTGAGGAGTACAAGGCACTAGCAACGACAGACCGATAGAATATTTCCAGCATCTTATTGCACACATTGAAGGACCTCAGCTTCCTTAAAAAATAGAGTCTGCTGCGGGCCTTCTTATACACAGAGGTGCTGTTTGTTTTCCAATTCAGACAGTTGTCGATAGTCACACCCAAGTATTTGTACTCCTGCACCATCTCCACATCCCTCCCCAAAATGGAGAGGGGCTGTGGAGCAGTTCCCTTCCTCCTGAAGTCAATAACCATCTCTTTGGTCTTGTCCAGGTTAAGCAGCAAATGATTCTGTCCCGACCACTCCACAAACTCATCCACCAGCCTCCTGTATTCCCCCTCCTGCCCACCCCTTAAACACCCCACCACCACAGAGTCATCGGAATACTTCTGTAAATGACATGACTCCGAGCTATACTGAAAATCTGAGAATCAATAGAAACTTTTTGAAGTAAACCCCACGGAGTCTTTCATCTACACAGGTGTGTGAATTGCAATGCAGACTGTCTATGATGTAGGATTATTCTCCAAAGGTCTTTTGGGAATAATGCTGAGAGTTATTAAATAGGCTACATAACTTTACACA